TTTTTTAAATTTCGAAGAAATTTTTTTTTTGTATTTCTTGCATTTTCGCGAGTTCTGCATGAAATTAAAAAAACTTAATTTTTGTGGTTTTTGCTGTTGAATGAATTATATAAAAAAAAGAGAAATTTTTAATGGAAAATATAAATAAATAAAAGCGTCAAAACGTCGGGGTTTTCGTATTTTTTACGCTGAGTGTATTTCGTTTAAAGTTATGATGGCACATATTTTTAGGCTTATTTTTTGCGTACAAATCCGACCTCTAGTCATAACTAAAAAAAAAAAAAAACTCGAGAAGCGGCTTGAAAAATTTGTTTTTATTTACATACACTCCCATAAAAAAATGAATACACGTTTTGTTACTGAGCTACCGGTAATCGCTGCAGGTAGCGGTAATTTCTGCATACTCAACTCAAAATTTATATTTTTTGGATTATGACACTTTTGAACTAAATAAGCTATATGTACATGCATATGTAAGTATATGGCACGCCTACAAAAAGTAGAGGGATATTAAAGGTCCAGTAAAGTGGTGAATATGTTTTTGTTGCTTGTATGCCTTTTGTAATGCAGGAAAGGTAAAAGTGCCAAACAAATCGCGGAAATTTCGAAGTGGAAAAATTAGTACATATTTTGTTATTGTTGAGGTCTAAATATATGTACATATGTATGTACCACGTAAAAGAGTGTGAAGAGAAAGCGACTCAACTCATGGAAAACCCGCTAACTTTGTATTGTCAAAACAACATCTCTGAGCGCTCGCCGAATCTAGCAGGCAGCGCGCATAACACGAAAATGTTTAGTATAAAAGCAACTAGCGGCGAGAGTGAGTTATTAGTAGAACGCTAACGAAGGTTTAAGGCAGAGGGCAAACTAAGTAAACTAACTAACTAGACTCATTAAAGCACGAGTCGCGACAACAACTATAAAAAAAACAGACAATGGATCCACCGCCCAACTATAGCTCCGATGAGCACAACAGCAGCGATGAACTGGAACGCATCAGTGAGGTGAAAACCTCAGCATCAACAACAGCCTCAACCTCAGCCTCTCCTGCCGCATTGTCATCCATTGAACCCTGTCGGCTGTCGTGGTTTCTGGTGAAAAATGATGCTGCCTCAGCAGCAGAACATGGCGACTATTGCATCATACACGCCATGGATATAATAAATCAAGATCCAAAAGATGTATTTCTCTTCAATGCGGTGCACTTTAACCTGGGCAAAGATACACTCTCGGGCCAAGTACTGGCCGCTGCCGATCACATACAACTGGTTGAGGCAGATATGCAGGAATGGTTAAAGGCGGATCGGCTGAAACCAGCAGCAGCTACGCCATATCTCTTGGTACAATATCGTCCAGCGCCAGATCGCTTAGTGCATCGTGTAATGCATGAAAATGATGTGACGCCAGTGGTGTTGGGACAAGCGAAGCAAAATAGTTGTCGAGAGGTTTACGTGAAAGATGGCGTGCGTATGTGTCAGGGATATGTGTTGACACGCAGCAATGACGCCAATCGGTTGGACAATGAGCTGATTAAAGTGAAAGTGAAATGTTATGAGGCGATACGTAGCACATTCCCGCAGCCGGTAAGTCAATTGGTGGTGTGGGCGTGTGGGAAATGCCTTTACTAAATATGGTTTTTCTTTTGTTGCTGCTTGCAGGACGATATTGAAAAGGATGCCAGAATAGCGCCAGAAGATAATACATGGCTGCTGCTGCAGTATAGCCGCAGCATCTCCGATTGTATTTATACCATTATGCGCTACAAGGATACACAGAAGTTGGACTCCAATTTGTATCCGGGCATACAGACTTATTTGACTGTAGGCAATACAATTTATCAGACAATGATTGTGCACAAATCGCTAAATGAGCTGGAAATGTTGGCAGTTTTGAATAATATAGCCAGCTCCTGTCTCTTATCCGCTTATCCAGCCATTGATGATACGGAATTCCGCAATGCAGAGCTTGTAAAGGTAAGTGGCATGAAGTATATGAAATTTGTTTTAGAGACCGCTTCTATATGTACTTATATGTCTGACAATTTTAATATTAATCCTTTTGCATGTCTACCCCCCCTTCTTAACACTTAAAAGCAACAACAAATTCTTCTTCTCGGATGTGCTAATGTTTATGCCCAAAAACCCCAAAATATCCAGCTTAGATAAATGTGTATGGTGTTTGTCCCAAAAGAGTACGTAATTTACTTTGTGTCTATGCTTTTTTTCGCGACCTTTTATGTAATCACTTCTTCTGCTTCGTTTCTGTTTTTAGTACGAACGTCAAGATTTAAATGAGTACAAATCATACATCGCTGCTAATGTTCGCAAATCGGACATAACAAAATGCCAACAAGTGTCGAAATGCATCGAGAAGGAAGCCGCTTATATCAGTCATCTGCTGGATAATATCGATCGCACCGAAGAGCAAATGGAGAGCGTGCTGCATCAAATAAGAGAAATGAACGACAATGTGAAATGTACTTTGGGGGATAAATAATTATGTATTATAGGTATATATTAGATTAGTGCAAAAAAATCGGCGGTATTTTCTTCAAACTTCCCTGTGAAATATTTTCGGGACCTTGAGAAAATATGCCTATCAAAGCGCATCCCTTAGTATATAAGATTTAGTAGTCTCTCATCGCAAATTTTTATTTTCCATATAAATTCCACAGGAAATTTTTTTTTTTTAATTTTTAAATTTCATAACCCGTTTTTAGGTCAACGTATCGGATTTAACGATATATACATAAGGGCGGAGTAATGTTTTCGGAGAAAAATTTTCGAAAAAATTGTATAGCAAATTCAAATTCTACGATTGATTCTAAGCAAAAATGGCGAACAAACTATATACCAAAAATTACATTTGACCCTCCATATTTTTAATAGAATAGCAGTACATAGTAAATTTTTTGGTCGAAATTTATTTTTCATTGTACCAAAAAATTTTGTACCTAATTTTCTATTTTCTCGGTTTTGTGAGGTATTAAATACGAAGAAAACATAAAATTTTTTAAATGAAAAATTAATTTCGTTCAGAAAAAATTATAATACACTGATTTTTCGTTTAAAAATTGGGAGGGTCAAACGTCATTTTTGGTATATAGTTTGTTTATAATTTTTTCTTAGAATCAAACGTAGAATTCGAATATGTCATAAAATTTTTTCGAAATCAAATTGCTCCGCCCTAATATACAAATTTTTCCATAATGCTAGTATAACAAAGTGCAAGTTTGAAAATGTTCGAATTTAACCTTTTATAACTTTTGGTGGAGTATATTTATAGAGAAATCAGAAGAGCCTTCAATTTCCTTCAAAAATATCGAGCCCTAACCGCCAAAATAACGTAAGCGACATTTTTTTCAAAACTTTCTTTTTGATGCAGAAATATTTCTAGAGCATCTAGATGCATTTCTGCATCAAAACGAAAATTTTGAAAAATAAGTCGCTTACGTTATTTTGGCGGTTAGGGCTCGATATATTGTTCATTCTGATACGTTGACTAGAACCAACTAATTAAATTGCAAAATTGAAAACATTTTCTTCCTGTGTAATTTATGTATAAGGAAAATGGAAATACGCAAATAATTGTATTAAAGGTTGCGCCTTTGATAGGCGTGTTTTTCACTGTGCCGTAAATATTTTACAGGGGATTTTGAAAAAGAAAAAGTCTCAGTCAGTCTAAATTGTATTTATATTTTTTTAAATTATTATATTCGGCTTATTATTTATTATTTTTTAATTAAATGTTGTTTTTGTAAGTTCTTGTAAGTTCTTAGTGTAAGCCTCAATGACGTGCTACTACTTGTGAAGTAAAGCGAAACGATTTCACCAAATAATTTCTCATTATATGATATTAATGATATACATTAATATGTATGTACATTAGGATGGTCCTTAAATGTAGAAAGCAAATCTTTACCTCAGATTTCCTAAAACGCTTCCCCTATGTCGATGCTACTATAGTCGAATATATCACATATAAATTTTGGTCCCGATTGGAGTCGGTTAAGGCGTGTCGCACAGGCGCCAAAGTTCAGATTACCCTATGAAGACGTCTCCAATCGGAACTAAAATTTATATGTGTTATCTGAGCCCGTGGTATTACCGATTGAGGGGGTGAGACTAAAAATAATCCTTGTTTCGATTTCTAATGACCACACTAATGTGCATACTTTAGAGTTTTTTCAGGAAAAAAAATTTGTGTTTAAAGCAGGGACACGGACTTTTATAACTTTTATAATAAAAGTAATTAAAAAAAGTTATTTTTGGGCTTTCATTTTATTTGAAATACAATAATTGATAAGCCCGGACATTATTATTTTTTTTTTGTCCAGGAATAAGAGCTAAACTTTGTCAAGTATTTTTTAAGGCCGAAATAAAAGTCCTTTCCTAATAATAAACCAACGACTTCAGTCCTCTTTCATCTAATACGAAATTTGTTTTATTCGGATAAGCGGTTGGTTTATTATTAGGAAAGCACCTTATTATTTCGGCCTTAAAAATAATTGGCCAAGTTTGACTGTTATTACTAGAGTAAAAAAACAAAAGTGCGAATTTTTCAGTTATTATCGGACTTTTTCCAAAAAGCTCGAAAAATAAAAGCACTCAGCATTCTTGTCCAGGAGGTCCTGAGATCAAAGTAACATTGATATCTTTCTTCTACAACAATATTTTGCCTCGGACTTTTATGCCATCGAAAAAAAAACAAACTATTGTTTTCGGTCCCTGGTATAAAGAGCAGATAGATTTTAGAAACTACTTGCGAAAACGGGCCTAAAAAATTGTTATTTAAAACCATTAAAATGATAGGCCATGGAAATAGTAATTGTAATTTAAATTTTGTGTCCTAAATTAGTTATTTTATTTGTAAAAATAGTTTAAAAATTATATTTATAATTTTTATTTGCTTAAATATTTCCATTAATTTACAATAATATACTTAAATATGTCAATTGTTTATGTATTTGTCCCCAATCATGTTTTACACAAAAAAGTCATATTTGAAAATTGTGATAAATTAGCCAGAATAAAGTCGTCCTCATTCAGAAATGTCCAAGGAACTCAAAACTAATTAGTATTTTTAATAATATCTGCTGGGAAAACCATTGAATTCGTTCGAATTCAACGAATTCGACTGTTGTTACCGTTAAGAGTTGATAGCTTTCTGGAAAATTACAAATCCAACAGTAATTTCCAGTTTGGTGTTATTTCTTATACCGAATTTCCACTAGGCATTTTTGACCATTTTCAGATGAGCGATTTAAGTAGGATTGTTGATAAACTTCAAAAATTCACTTTCAGATCATAATCAGCAGTTCAGCACAAAACGTAAACAAACACACAAATGCAACAAAAATTTCAAGAAACAAGCAACAGTGTTGCCACCTGTTTGACATATTTAAATACAGTTGATCTGAAACCCAACGAAAGTGAAATGCTATCTGAGAAACAATCGAAAATTTAAATTAAGTGCCATTTAAATTTTAATCTGAAATTGGCCCTTAATTTTTGAAAAATTTACAGTCCGTTTGACAGCAGTCAATTGTCAGACTATTAATTTGACATACAATTTGTAATCAGCGTATCCAAAAACTTGACCAGTGGCATTTTAAGAAAGATTTTCTCAGTTTTAGAGAAACTAATAGCCTAATTGGCAGCTGTCAACTGTCAAACTTATAATTTGACATACAATTTGTGAGGCGAAACACACACACAAAATCAGCTGATCTAGTAACATCACCTTAGCAATAACTGAGCGACCAATCTCTGCAAATTGCTTTGGAAACTTTGAAATCGAAAAATAATATTCAATTTATATTTTTGTTTTCAAAAATGTTTACCCACACTAGACTTTTTTTAAAATCGCTTACAATTGCTTTTCTCGTTTCTATTTTAGACGCCTTTCGCGTGCTAACGAATTCCAAATTCATCACTATCGATCCAAAATATGAATACGGCGACAATGCTACGCTCTCGCCCTCTCATCAAAAGATACGCCTCCCCGCTGGCGGGCTGTCGAAAACTAATGAAAATAAACCCAAAGTTTCCAGAGACCACGAAAGATGTCTGCAATCCGGACAGGAAAATGTGAAGCTAGACAAAACGGCGAAGAGAGTTCAGTACACAGATAGCCAAGGATCGGTAAAATGCAAAAATGAACGAATTTACCGCCTTTTAGAGCACAATTGTTATGAAAAAAATTCCACAAAAATGCCAACAAAATGCCGCATTGTATGTCCACGAGAGCATGCGACTATTGAAAAGAAATCCGAGCGAAGAAGGGAGAGGGAAGTAAAGAAGGAAAGGAAGAGAGAACCCAGAGAGCCATCAAAAGATCGTGAACAGTTGCGTAGAGAGTTAGAAAATGCGCCGGAAGAGAGGGCAGTGCCGGCGCCTCCGCTAGTTCCACCAGCAGCCAAGAAGCCGCCAGGTTGCGTAGACAAATCGGTTGACAAGACTGATGAACCGCAAGACGGCGGCGCTGGTCTTGGCGCTTATCCCTCTAAGTATTTGGGTTTGTCATGTTCCGCTGATAAAAAAACGTCAGGAGAACCATGTGTGGAGAAACGACCCTGTTCACTATCTATGTTTCCCTTTCCAAGGATACGACAACGAGAAACGACCGTCGAACCGCTACCGCCGCCGGCGCCAGCCGTAACAGAGCCCGAACAACCTTGTCACCCAGTTGAAGAGAAACGTTTGCCTTGTCACGAAAGGGAGGAGTACACACCACGCGAGCCGTTTACACAACCCAAACCGCCAGACATAACCAAAGAAATTATTGCACATCAGTGTAATCGCATACACAATTTGGAGTTACAAGTGAACGAACTACGCCGCGAGCTACGCAGAATGCGCACTGAAATTATACCGCCCGACGATATGTTGCGCTGCACCACGCTCACCGCTAAACTGCGTGAACTCACTTCACTGCTTGCCGATTTGAAGAATCGTCATGCGGAGGCGATAGCAGAAGTTATTAGGGCGCAAAAGCAAGCAAGCCAAGTTGACAAATGCGAAACAGCTGCAGAGCCAACTGTGGTTACGCGCGCACCACAACCACCACGTCCACAAATGAAGGCGGAGACAGTGCAAACTTGCTTCACTGTCGATCACACCGATAAGCTCTCACAAACCAATGCCACTTTCGGCTGGCGCCCCTTCATCGATGAGGCCACACAAAGTTCGCCACCATCAACCGTCCCTGTGACACCGAAGAATACATCAAGCGTGCCGGCAAGCAGCCACACCAGCTCCGCGCCCAGTTCTATTCTACCCTGTGGGCATGACACTGGTGCGTTCCCACTAAAGGAGTCGCCCAGCTTTTGCCCCTACTGTCAGTGCAGCGAGTATCCATGTTGCACTTATGTCGAGCGGAATCTTTATGGTGAAATTATGAGACTGCTTGAAGACCACGCGCCACGCGATATATTGTTGTCGGTGCTGTTGCAACCGAACAATCTCTACCATATAAATATCACAGTGACCAGCACCGGTGAGCCATTGGGTTGTATCTACGCCACGGAGCGCGCCATCAATGAGGCTGTCGAGGCGGAAGTCTTTGAAAGATTTTTGACATTCTTCATAGTGGATGCGCGTATTTCGGTGCAGCAGAAGGATAAAATTCTGGCGCATACTTTTGAGTTTTTCAAAAACTAGTGGCGCACTACATATGTATATACGTCGAATATCCAGATGTTATCAAAAATATTTTGTGTATTGGACTTACAGTCAAAGGAATGTCTGTGATTGTTAAAATCGTGTAATATATGTATGTTTTTTACTTTTTTCTGGTTTTGTCTTGTAAAAGCACGAAAATCACGTCAACTTTTTTCCGCGATATACGGACAGTCGTCTCCATACAGTTGCTAACTGTAAACTATTTTTCCTTGTGTCTAATAATTTCTTAGTTTATTTCGAAAAAGTGGTGGGTAGTAAGATGTGCACATGGGCAATTCCAGCGAAGACCGCACCCCATCTCAAAAAATTTATTACACAGATTGCGTTCAAATAAGGGATGTGCGATTAATCAATTAATCAAACAAGCTTTTTAATCGAAACCTGTTTAATTAATTGATTGTTATTAATTTCTCGATTAATTACATTTTAATTAATCAGAATCTAATTAATTTTATTAATCAGAAAACTAATTAATCATAACTTGATTAATCAAAAACCTGAATAATGAATTAATCAAAGAATAATAATTTTTGATTAAACAAAGTGATTAATTTCCCGATTATTTACATTTTAATTAATCAGAATACAGTTAATTTTATTAATCAAAATACAGTTAATTTTATTAATCAGAGAACTGATTATTCATAACCTAATTAATCAAAAACCCGAATAATTGCTGCTATATTTTTTATATAGAAAACAATTTATACTCATATATTTGTATGTATATTTTTTCATTCATTTTATGAGTAGACAGTAATTATTCAGAACCTGATCAATCAGTATCTGATTAATCACGTTTTTTGATTAATCAGGATTAATTGATGATTAGTTAAAAAATTATTTAGTCGATTAATCGCACATCGCTAGTTAAAATCTATGACAACAGTAAAGCATTTAGAATAGTTCTTTATAAATCGATTTTTATTGAATTATTTATTTTTCACCATTTTCTCTATATTTACAAGCTTTTATTTAACTGGCTCTGTATGTGTGTATATATGTTTGTTTGTTAGGTGCAATCTTGTATTCAATTTTTAACCAACTTTCGTATGACTTAGAGACTTGAAACTTCACAGTTGGCTCAGAACCCGATGACAATGCAATAAAGAAGAATTATTCCGATAGGTGGCGCCGGAGTCGAGATATCTGAAAACCCCGTTGTTGTTATTGGAACAGCATACATATTCCCAAATCCAATAAATCTGGGTCGTTCCGGTTACGTAGACCCGTATTTGTAATCCGATTCCGGTTCATATTTAGGAAGCCTGTTTTAAAAGTAGGTTTTTACTATTAACTTATTACTGTCTGTCATTTATTACTATTATTACTTATTGTCAAGGCCATCGAAGGTGATAATGTAAAAAATAAAATATTTCCAAAAAGAAAGTACAACTCATGGACTCTGCTGAGCTGTTAAAAAAACGTGTTTATGTCCAGAAGTAATCAGCGTTGGAGTAAATGCTTATTGGATGTCCTACCGTCACAGCAAAATTTGTTTTTTTTACCCAAATTTGTAAGATTCCCATTCTTTGAATAAGGTACCTATATTAAAAATAACGTCATCGCTTTCCCACCCGTCACTCTTTGAAAATGCCAATTTTCTGAGTAAATTGTGAATATAATGAATGTGATAATGAAGTTTTATATTTTATTAGTTTCGTATTAAATTGAGCTCTGACTTCAAGTGTTAACATTTTGAAACTTGTCAATTTAATGGTTAAAGAGAAATGAGTTAAATTTTGATCAAAACGAAATTAAAATGCCCCACGCGTCACGCTGGAATGACCCCAATGCGGGTGCGATGCCAACAAAAAACGATATTATAAATAAGCAAATGAACAGATGACGAGTTGTTATGCAGACATCAAGAAATTATAAATTCATCAAACTGTCGACTAGGCGTTGGAGTTAGGAGTAAGTTGAGCAAAACAAAATAATAGCTTTGTTTCTTTACCTTTCTAACAGATAATTATCAGGAAGAAGAGGAATGGAAAAAATTACCGAATTACGCTTGTAGGGAGTGAAATATAGAAATATTTCAGAAAATATGTAGAAAGTAAAGAATAAAAACAACTGCGCCAACCTCTGTTGTTTACATTTTAGCAGCTGTTTATTACTTTGACAGCTGCTAGTGAAAATTTTACTAGCAGGAGAGGCCAAAAAAAGGAACGTAAGAACAAGAGAGCTGCTGCTGGTTTCTGCTAGATTTTTGGGTTAAGAAACGCCATCCCAGCAAAAACTAGTGATAATTATCTGTAAAGTGACAAAGCTAATGCCTTCAACATATACACCATTTTGGCTGGGAGCGAATTGAGTTTAATGGAGATTTGAGTAAATTTGGATTGCATTTTTTGGTAGCATTAGAGTAAAAACAATGGGCCTCATGCATGAAAAGAAGCTTAGGCTCGGACTCAACTTTTGCACCGACGTAGTGAGCTTAAGCTCAAGAATTTGTGCTGAAAATCGAGTCGGAGCTTAAGCTAACTTTTTATGCACGAGGCCCAATATATGCGGGTATTTTGTTGTTGCTTCTGGTATCAAAAGTGTCAAAACCTGTTCTGATTTTTTTTTTCTTCTAAATCAAAGCGTCTCATGTGAAATACAAAAAATAAAAAATTCAATTGCCCTAGTTGTAATGAAGCATGATTTTATGAATATGAAGGTAAAAATTAAGGTGGAAATGACGATGCATGTGAAAACGAAAATGCAGATGAATATGAAGATAAAAATAAAGAGGAAGGTAACGGTGAACAGGAAGGTTAAGAAAAAAATGAAGAAGATAAAGGCGAAAAAAATAAGAATAAAAATAAAAATTAAGGTGGAGATGACGACGAAGACGAAGATAAATGATAAAGTTTCAAACCATTAAGTTTCACTTCTTCACTTCTTAGTTTTTTGGATTTTTTCGCTCTACACTACCGTTGAATATATCTACCCCTTCACATACAAAAATAAATACATTCATCCCCGCAAACATATTCTGAGCGCTCAGAATATATGAGTCGGAAAGGAGTCCTAGGTAAGTAAGAAATATGAGTTTCAAAAACAAACATTTTTTTACTCTTATATGAATCTTTTAGGAGTCATATATGATCCAAGTTATGAGCCAGCACTTTGTGCCAGTATAAAAACAATAACGACTAGAAATTTATATCTAAACTTGTTTATACAGATATGAAAAATAATTAGGAAGGAAAAATAAACAAAATTTAGCTGCAGCATCTGCTATTACATGAATGCTGCAATATATGTACATATATATGTATGCGCAGAGGTTTGTATATAAATATCCAACAGTATTTGAAATGAATTCCTTGCTAACATGGCTCTAAAGTAAGTTCATTAAGAGAGTTGAAGAATAAAGCCAATAAGAGTCACAGAACAGCATACAAGGAGCTCCGAAAGTAGGCATTTATGAGGCCAATAAGAGTCATTTAAGAGCTTCAAAAAGAGTCCAAAATGAGCCGTATATGAGGCCAATAAGAGTCCAATATGACTCATATTGAGGCTCATTTGATGTATGAATTTAAGCTCATATAGGTCGACCTACGCAGGAAGGGGAACACACTCATATCGGACTCTTAAATGAGCTCATTATGAGCACAAAGGCTCCGAAATTGGACTCCTTAAAGACTCATTTATGACTCCAAATGTTTGCTGGGATATGTCTATAGACTCCATTATTCAATTATTAAAGGTTCTGTAAGTAGCTTTTTTCTAAAATTTTACACTCCCACCCACAGGGATGTTTTTTGGAAGCAGGAGGAAAAGGGGAAGAATTCAATCACCTTCAAAAAGTAGCGAAATTCCACAAAAAGGTGTTCATAATAGTGCATGGTAGTATTGGCTAATTTACATCGAATAAAATGTCTGATTATTATTAAAAACTAGCAATTACCCGGCGTGCTTCGCTGCGCCTTAAATGTATTTTTGTGTTGTAACTCTCCCCCTAAGCTCTTATGGCCTCATTTACAAAATATTTTTAAAGAACTTTATGAAGTTAGATTTAAAAAAATCGATCTATGAAGCATTGTTTATTTTTTTTTTGAGTTAATATATTTTCGAAGGTAATTAGAAAATATGTAAAGAACCGACTTTCTCTTGGAAATTTAATTTATAATCTTATAACTGGAGTCTACTATCGCACCCTTTCCTCAAACGTGTATTGA